TCTCTGTATTAATCATTCTCTCATTGAAGTTTTTAGCTTTGTAGTGAGTCCTTTTACATGGAAACTTTGTATTACATCTTGGTAGAATAGTTCCTAGGACAAGTGAGACTGTCCCTGTGTGGTGAACGAGGTGGGAATGTCGAAGGCAGAAGGTTAGCACCTATGGGCAGTTTCAAAGGTTGGAGAGAGGATGGAAGCCAGATCCAAGATCAATGAGCCCTGGGAAGTGGGCCCATTGAATGGAGTCTGGACCTGTGGATGCTTTGGGGGTCAGCAGCAAGGGCCTGCTTTGGGAAGCCCCTTCTTTGGAGGTGAATTTGGCAGCATTGAGACACCACCCAGAAGCAGGCGCCACAGACACTAACTTCAGATTCATGGGACAGCTCTCATAGATCTTGCACATGCATAAGATGATAGATTTGCAGGAAGGGAGGCAGTGGCATAGTGAGGGGGCTGGAGGAGTCAGTTGCCTCTGGGCACCATACTAGGGAGGCGCCAATTTAATCCCATTCTGCTCCCGCCGTCATCCCATGTGCTCCTACTCCGCCTGCCATCGACAACAAGAGCCTCCTTCCTGCCTCTCTGCTCTAAGCCTGGGACTCCTCCATCTCCACTGGCGGGTTAGTGCATGCGGGAGCCTGGCCCCAAACTGTAGGGGGTGGGGGAAGATGCGGTATAAGTTCCCCTCAGCTGTGCACCAGGTTCAGGTGGTGCCGCAGCCAGGGGGGGAGCCCAAATTTTTCCTTTTACCCTGGGTGAATAACACCCTCGCTATGCCTCTGCCTTTCATCAAAAATTATTGCCCACCCTGGCTAAGATACTGTCAAAAAGCACTTGCAGTCTACAAATATTAATTTTAACTAGAAAAATGGTTAGCAGCAAAGCCCTCTTTCAGCTGCTGCTAAACTGTTTTTGGTTTAGCTACACTAACAGCACAGCCATTTTTAACATCACTACAGATGGAAGTCACAGCTGAGGGCTGTCTTTCACAACAGGTTAATTTCCTTATGTAGCCAGACTACATATTTTAGCAAGAACATAGCTAAAAATAAATGAAGGGAATGCTGGAAATGTGAAGGTTTCAATAAAATTATATAGCTGCTCCCATTTGTGATTGTTTAAATACTTCATAATAGTGCTTTAAGTAATGGTGCTTTCTTTTAGTTTCTCCATGACTGTGGCTGAAATCACGTAGTGTAGATGTCCTGAGAGACTAGCTTTATCACAAGATCTGCAATATTTGGTGGTGGCTTATTTTTGTGGGGGAGGGTTTATTGAAGCTCCTGTAATTACATGAGAATCTGGTTTTTATTGTATAAAAACATCTATCCTTAGTGGCTGTGGAGGAAAGTCTGAAAAGGTAACCAGTATACCCTAAAGGTTCAGAAATCGAAAAATTCAAACTTTCTTAAAATTGGCTTGAATAGTGCAATCACGATTTTTTGTAGGAGAGCATGACCTGTGGGGTTTTTTTGTTTTTGACTGCTTGGGCAATGCTGCTCTGAGGGGAAATTGGTGTCATTGGAGGGTTGAGAGGTGTAGCTTATTATGAGAACTGGAAAAATGAAAAGCTATGGATGCTAATACATCGAATGAGTGACCAGTTGTTTTGGAAGTAGAATCAAAGGAAGGTTGCAACTCCAGTCATCTGTGTGTGCCTTACATTGCATACAACTAACTTACTGTTTAAAAAGTAAACTGACTTTTTTTTCAATTTCTCCAACTTGAGACATCTCCAACTTGATTTCTTCCAGAGCAGGGAACATCCATAAATGTCCATTTGAAATCAATTGAAAATTAGATCTTAGTAGGTGGTTCTAGATAGCACGTGCACTGGAGTGAAAACTAAGAAGCCTCAAGTGTGTGGACTCATTCAGACTCTAGATGCATAAAGCACATGGAATCCAATTGTTAGATGTCCTCATAGCCGTCTGGTATCTTCCCCCAAGGAGGCTCTCCCATGACACTGTGGTGCTGGTGACACAAACCCCTGAAAGCAAAATATCTAGTGATGATATTCCTTTTAATGTGTCCTTCTACTGTCCAACTCAGTTAAACTCCACTTTTGTATTGCTGGACCTGTACTTCTCTGACATGTGTAGCAGCATAGTATCTACCGTAGTACTCTTGACTCTGCTACAATAGAAAACCTTAACTGTCACTTCAGCCACAAAAGTCAGCTGTGCACCAATGAGCTGTACAATATATTTGCCTAGAGGGAGTGTGAGTGATGACTTTGTACACATTGGACGCATCTGGGACTTCAGTTATAGGAAAGCAGAAATGAGAAACTGATAGGGGAGGGTGAAGCTATGTTAAGATGATTTTAGAGCTGGTCAGTTTGTTTTTAAGAGGGCACAAACTCCCACACCCCTTTAAAGGCACCCTAATGGCAAGGGCACTGTTTTAGGAGAGTAAGGGTAAGGAGGCAGCAGCTGTGGCTATGTCTCCACTACAAGGTTTTTGCACAAACCCAGCCATTTTGTGCAAAAACTGGTGGAGTCTCCATACCTCAAGTGCGCTTTTGTGCAAAAAAAAAAATTAAATAGACAGGACAGAGGGCTTTTGCGGGTAGAGTAATTCCTATCCCCACGAGGAATAACTCCTTTTTGCGCTACAGCTCTTGTGCAAAAAGGTACGTGTGGACGCTCCACAGGGGTTTCTTGCGTAAAAGGAGCCTATCAGAAAAAGCACAGGAGTTCTGATGGCCATTCTGTTAATGACCATCAGAGCTTTCTTGTGCAAGAGCATCCATGCAGTGTGGATGCTCTCTTGAGCAAGAACTTTTTGCGGCAGATCTCTTCCACAAAAAGATTCTTGCACAAGAAGCCAATCCGGAAAAGGTGGGAAGAGGTTTCCCCAGACCATAATGGTAGGGGTGGGAGAGCCCCTTTGCCCCCCCTTCCCACTAGGCTCCCATGCCCCTGGCAGGGCAGGAAGAGGCTTCACACACTCCTCCACTGCCAGGCCCTGATTGACCTGGGGGTGTGGGAAATGTCGTCCTACCCTGTGAGGAGCATGTGGCACTTTTGAAGTTCCGTGCACTCCTTGCAGGGCCAGGGCAGGGCGAAGGAAGCTTCACATAGCTCCCCTACCCCCAGGCCTTGATTGATCTGGGGGTGGGGGGAGTGCACAAAATCTCCTCCTGCCATACCCCTGCCCTGAGAGGCGCACGCATCACTTCAAAGTGCCACACGCTGCTCGCAGGTTGGGAGGAGATGTCACACGCTCTCCCACCCCCAAGCCCCTCAGTACTAAGAGCTGAGATCTTGCAATCCAAGTACCTAATCCATTTGTCCAGGACTGACCCCTCAGTCTTCCTTCCCTGTAGCTTAAACACGTATTCTCCCAGAACTCTGGGTGTGCTGCCGTCCTCAGGTTAACCTCTGCAAAGGCTCATGAGAGGTGTAGCAACCCAGACATTGCGCTGGATTCTAAACCACCATTGCTTTTTTTAGTTGCATGTCTATTAAAAGGACACCAAACATATTTGGCCTGCCTTGGTTTGTTCATCATTACAGCACACTCTTTGAGTGGGAAGTCAGAACCTTCTGTGGCTTTTCAGGGTCAGTTTGCTGCAGTGCATGATTTGTCTTCTGAAACATGAAGTTTCTGACTTTGGGTGGTTTGTACCCTTCCTCTCGCCTCCGCAATGTTTCCTGTCCCAGTGAATCCCTCTATTAGCACGTGTCCCTTCAATAGCTCCTACTTCCTTTATTCTCCTGCAGGTAATTTCCCACATCCCAAATGCCAGCCCCTTACAGGAAAGCTAAGGAGATGGCATCTGCTAGTTCCAACCTTAGCACAACAAGGCAACGTCTACACTATGAGCCTCTTGCGACAGAGCAAATGCAAATGGAGTGCTCGTTTGCATACGTCGTGCTCTCATTTGTGTTTCCTCTTCTTTTCCCTTTTGTACAAGAGGTTTTTGCACAAAAGCGCTGTGTAGACAAAATGAGGAAGAACGGCTTGTGTAAAAGGGGGTTTTTGTGCAAAAAAGCGCCATCTACACAGCACTTTTTTTGCTCAAACCTCTTGCACAAAAGGGAAAGGAAGAGGAAATGCAAATGAGAGCATGACATATGCAAATGAGCACCCCACTTGCATTTTCTCTTCCGCAAGAGGCTCATAGTGTAGACATAGCTCTACTGTTTGGTCAAAGTAGAGTTAAGGTTAACATGGCTCTATTGTACCTAGACTGGGAGATATACACTTGGGCTACATCTAGACTGGCATGATTTTCCGCAAATGCTTTTAACAGAAAAGTTTTCCGTTTAAAGCATTTGCAGAAAAGAGCGTCTAGATTAGCATGGATGCTTTTCTGCAAAAACACTTTTGCGCAAAAGCATCCATGGCCAATCTAGACGTGCTTTTGCGCAAAAAAGCCCCGATCGCCATTTTTGTGATCGGGGCTTTTTTGCGCAAACCAAATCTGAGCTGTCTACACTGGCCCTTTTGCACAAAAGCTTTGCACAAAAGGACTTTTGCCCGAATGGGAGCAGCATAGTTTTTCCTCAAGAAGTATTGATTTCAGACAGTAGGAAGTCAGTGTTCTTGCGGAAATTCAAGAGGCCAGTGTACACAGCTGGCAAGTTTTTCCGCAAAAGCAGCTGCTTTAGCAGAAAAACTTGCCAGTCTAGACATAGCCTTGAAGTCTTGTGAGCAACAATACATACAGGTGTTCCATAAAACAAGAATTTTCATAACATTAACTAGAATTCATAGTTGTACTGACATAGCTCCAAGTTCAGACTGGTGTTCCTCTTACTAAACTGAAAAAAGTCAATATACAACTTCTGGAAAGAGGTAAATTGTACATGTTACTATTTTTGAACTTTAAGGAATTTCTGGTTTAGTATTATGAACTAAATGTACTATGAAGCTATTGCAAATAATATCAAGTGATTGTCTTGCTGTGTTAGACATCTTACTATAACTTCCTTAGAATTTGTGCATTAACTAGAATTCTTACTATAACTTCCTTAGAATTTGTGAGAGGTGGTCAAATCAGAATTGCTAGCTGCTTCTGTTCTTCCCTATCCTTGCAGTACACTTAAAAAAAAAAAAAAAAAAACCCACCCCTAGAAAATACTCAACAAGAACCTGAGGAATCTTAGCTGACTTAAAACTATAGAGACCAAGAAGCCTTCCCTATGTTTCAAGACAATCTGAAGTCCATCAGTTTTAACATCTGGATGTTACAGTGAGGAAGTTATAATCTCTTTTCCAGCATCTTACAAAAAATAGGCTTGCTTTTGTTAATGTTGGACAACTATTTGAATACATTGAGTAAGGCCACGTAAAATAAGACATCATACATTGTAGACACCTTAATGCATGTTTATTTTTTAAAATATGGTTTACAGTTGAAATATACAGTGTTCTCCTGTATGCTTTTTTTAAAAAGCAAGAAGTACTTAAAATCCCACCCCGTACAAAAGTGTTAACATAAAACCATACAGTTAGTTATGCACATAAAACAGTACTATTCATTTCTAAAATCAACCTAAAGTCTTCACTAATGCCCATGAGCGGAGAGGGAAGATCAGATATCTTGGCTACACGTGGGTTTTTCCTCCCTTATAATTCAGTCTTCAGCAATTTCAGAGCTTTCTGCATATTTGAATACACTAGAAATGAAACATTCAGAGCTGTTAGGTTTGTGCAGTTATAAACTGTCAATGACTGAAAATACTTTAGGGAAAGTGCTATTACTACTAAAGAGACTGTTGACCCAGGTTCCCTTATTGTACGAATTCTTCATCCATTTTTCAGTCTCTCCCAAAACTTATAAACAGTCCTGACCATGTTTAAAATTATAGATACTGCAAAATATCATTTCCAAAAGAGAAGGTAGGAGAGTCCAGTCATTCCACACAATCTACTCTCTCTCCCACCCACATCCTCTCCACTCCATATTTGCTGAATTTCCATTACAATCTTAGGTTCCCTTTCTGCTGCAAGATACTAATTACTTCCACTAACTTTAATAGAACTCATACTGTAGTCCCCAAAGGGTCTTAAAACACCAATATTCAACTTATGTAAAAATGAATGCTGATGAATTATGCAATTTCTTACAAAAATGCATTATCTTCCTTTGAAACAGATGGAATTTGAGTGCTCCAGAACCATACTATTGGTCTGTGAGGGTGAATGAAAAGGAAAGAATTTTAATTTAAAATCCCTTTACATTTAATTTCCTGTCAGAGCTGCTCTCTTTATATAGGTAGGTAGGTACATACATACGTACATACAAACAAATATACTAGGGGGTTGTGCCCACTGCTTGCTATGCTTGCCAGCCCCTATCTCTCTCTCTTCTTTTGCATCCAGAGAGCCTGATGATGTCAGTGTGTCGTATGGAAAAAAAATGTTTTATATATAGAGGGAGATATATATAAACTATAGAAAAAATGAGATGTCATTTTCATGAGCCTGATTGTGGCACCTTCACCATGTTAGTGAGCCTATTGATTTCCCTTGACATTATTCATACAATAAGGCACAACTGAGTGTAAGGGTGTATGAATGCTACCCTAAATAGGCAAGAGGTCATAAAGAACATAGTTATGTCTGGCAATTAAATCATGTTTCAAACAATATTATGTAAAACAGATCAAGCATGTCTCACTGGTCTTTGAGAAGACATTCATCTGTTCTCAAATGAATGTGCAAGCTTCTGTTAGAACGACAAGAAGTACTGTAAAAGCGGCGAGGAGTCCTGTGGCACCTTATAGACTAACTGAAGTGTAGGAGCATAAGCTTTTGTGGGCAAAGACCAACTTCGTAAGATTGTTACATCTGATGAAGTGGGTCTTTGCCCTCAAAATCTTATGCTCCGATATATCTGGTAGTCTTTAAGGTGCCACAGGACTTCTCATTGCTCTTGTAGATTCAGACTAATACAGCTAACCCTCTGATACTTAAGCTTCTGTTAGGAAATTTAATACTTACACAATGAAATATCTGAAGGTTCATATGCATAGAGACGGTTTGAGTATCTTCCAGTAATATCTGCTCTAACTGTCAGGGAAGGATCTGGAAAGGGGACAGAAAAAAGCAATGGAAGAAATTACTAATTTTCAAATAGCAATTTACAATATTCATATAAGTAGTATAACTAGGCAGGCCAAAAAAGAATCTGAAGAGCAACAAGAAGAGACAAAAACTGGAGTAGAGCTGCTCCCCGAGTTGCGAATGGTCGAGTTACGACTGTTCACGCTTACGACCAGAGCTCCCATGGAGCTGTCATAAAGGCAGTCCCTGAGTTACGAACAGCGCGGTCGCGTGTAACTCAGTGGGGTCCGAGTTACAAACTGATCGAGTTACGGCCAAGTGTTTGGTCCGTAACTCGTTCGTAACTCTGGGAGAGGCTGTATATCAGAAGCAGGAAGTCTGCCAAACAATCAGTGGAACCACTGGGTTATGGTGGTACTAAAGGGGCACTCAAGTTAGATAAGGCCATTGTAGAGAATCTAAAGAAATATTTTGCATTCAACTTTACCACAGTGAAGGGAGCCATTATTTTTAGGTGACAGAGCTGAGGAACGATCTCATATTGAGGTATCAATAGAGGAGCATTTGGACAAACTGATAAGTTAAACAGTTCTAATATATATATTTTTGTGGTGAGGGACCAGGACCAAACGCTATTCATCCAAGAGTTCTGAAGAAACTCAGATGAAATTACAGAACTACTAACTGTGGTTTGTAAACTATCATTTAAATCAGTCTCTGCACCAGATAACTGACAGAGAGATAATGTAGCACCAATTAAAACACCCCCCCTCAAACATGCCTTCAGAGGTGAGCCAGACTATTACAAGCCAGTAAACCTAACTTCAGTACAGACAAAATGGTTGAAACTACACTCATTATTGGACACACAGATGATCATATGTTGGGGAAGAGTCACTATAACTTTTTCAAAGGGAAATCATGCCCCCATCAAGCTACTAGAATGCTTTGATGGAGGGAGTTTTACAAACGTGGACAAGGGTGATCCAGTGGTTATAGTGTACTTAGATTTTCAGAAAGCCTTTGATAAGGTCCTTCACCGAAAGCTTCCAAGTAAAGTAGGCAATCATAAGATAATAGGGAAGGTCCTGTCATGGATAAGAAACAAAAGACAGGAATAAATAATCTATGTTCACAGTGGAGAGAGAGAAATAGCGGGGTCCCACAAGGATCTGTACTATGGATCAGTGCTCTTCAACATATTCATCAGTGAGCTGGAAAAAAGAGTTAAATAGCAAGGTGGCAAAGTTTGCCAATGATACAAAATTTTTAAGATGGTAGTCAGCTTTATACTCCACTAAGAATTACAAAGGGACGTCATAAAATTTGGTGATTAGGCAAAGTGGCACAAGAAAATCAATAAGTGCCAAGTAGTGCTGGTTGGAAAATATAATCCCAACTATATAAAAGATGGAGGTTTATATTATCTGTTGCTGCTCAAGAATGATCCTGGAGTCACCATGTACAGTGCTGTGGAATCATCTGCTCAGTGTGTAGCAGTGTTAAAAAAAGTTAACAGAATATTAGGGACTATTAGGTAAATAGGATAGAAAATATAATTCCATTGTATAAATCCACTGTATGCCCCTCCACAAATACTGTGTACAGTTTTGGTTCTCCATCACAAATAATATATATGAAGCTGGGGGAGAGGTAGATACACTGAAGGGCAGGGATAGGGTCCAGAGTGACCTAGTCAGATTAGAGGATTGGGCCAAAAGAAATCTGATGAGGTTCAACAAGGACAAGTGCTGAGTCCTGCACTTGGGACAGAAGAATCCCAAGCCTTGTTACAGGCTGGGGACCAATTGGCTAAATAGCAGTTTTGCAGAAAAGGACCTGGGGATTACAGTGGATGAGAAGCTGGACATGAGTCAACAGTGTGCCCTTGTAGCCAAAAAGGCTAATGGCATATTAGGTTGCAGTAGGAGGACCATTGTCAGCAGATCTAGAGAAGTGATTATTCCCCTTTATTCAGCTCTGGTGAGGCCACATCTGGAGTAGTGTGTCCAGTTCTGGGCCCCCACACTATAGAAAGGATGTGGATTCATTGAAGAGGGTCCAGCGGAAGGCAACTGGGATGATTAGGGGGCTGGAGCACATGACCTATGAAGAGCGACTGAGGGATTTGGATTTGTTTAGTCTGCAGAAGAATAGAGTGAGGGAGAATTTGATAGCAGCCTTCAACGTCCTGAAGGGAGGTTCCAAAGAGGATGGAGAAAGGCTGTTCACAGTAGTGACGGATGGCAGAACAAGGAGCAATGGTCTCAAGTTACAGTGGGAGAGGTCCAGGTTGGATATCAGGAAAAACTATTTCACTAGGAAGGTGGTGAAGCACTGGAATGGGTTACCTAGGGAGGTGGTGGAATCTCTATCCCTAGAGGTTTTTAAGTCTCTGCTTGACAAAGCTCTGGCTGGGTTGATTTAGTTGAGATTGGTCCTGCCTTGGGCAGGGGGCTGGACTTGATAACCCTCTGAGGTCTCTTCCAACTCTATTATTCTATATATATTAGAATTTGAAAAAGTACAGAGAAGGGGAACAAAAATTATTAGTGGTATGGAAAAACTTCCATATGAAGAAATTTAAAAGATGGACTATTCACCTTAGAAAAGAGATGACTATTAATGTGATAGAGGTCTCACTATTGGCACTGTCTTATGAAAGCTTCATGAGAGAAAACTCTAGTTCTCTCTCAAATTTACTAACCTGCTGACAGATTTTTATTGTATTTTGCCTTTATAGTAGTATTACTAAATTACACTTTTTCTAAACTTAGGATTGAAAGACAGCCATAACTTTAGTGATGCTTTTCTGATTATGAGTTACACATTTAACAATCTAGATTGTTAAAGCTATTCACAAGCAGTCCCTGAACCACTGCTTGATGTTTGTATGTGGCCGGTTATACACCTACATATGCTCGCCAGGTAATAGTGGACGTTAATTATGCACATGAATGAGTACATCTAGCTTTGAAAGTCTGGCCCTTAAACATTTGGATCATTGCTGCTTTTATGATCTCAAGATTTTGTTTCAAAGGATAAAAGTTCAGTCAGCATTTGCGTTCGGAAATAGCTTTGGGAAGTAAGAAAGGGGTCAATCTCTAAATCTGTTCTGAGCATTGATATCCTAGACATACTATGCTGTTTTAAACGGACATCTGTAAGGTAAAATCCTGGCACTACAGAAGTTAATGTCCAAGCTCCAAATGTCTTCGGTAGTTCTACAATATCACCCATAGCTGGCAAGATTGAAAATCTGAAAGCAGAGCCAATCCCAGAGGCCTATTTCACCTTCAGGACAAAGCAGAAGGAACAAAACACAAAAGAACACTTATTTGAAGAAACATGCCTCAAGTCGTATGTGACGTTCAGGCCAAAAAGTGTGTTCAGATTAGCTTGCTTCTTCCTCATCCATAGATGAAGAGCTCAAGCTTTCATTGGTGTACTCATCTCTATTTTAGAGCACACTTCACAAGTCATCATGACTGAAATATTTCTTCTCAATTACTTTGTAAGCCTCTCCCCCAAAAAAGACGCCCCTGCCTAATTCAGGGGTTGGTGTGTGTGGTGTGGTTTTTTGTTTATTTGTTTGTCACATTAGTTTTGTTTTGCTGGAACAAAAGATTCTGTTTTTTTGGCGTTAACTCCAATTAATGATGCATAAGGTTCCCCACTGAGGGCCCAGCCTCTCCAGCTTCCAAATGGATGTCATCCTTGAAGACTATGTCATTAAAACTGACAGTACTCACCTATGAACATAATTCTAGGGACATATTGGCCATCAGGTGAAAGATGTTTGTCAGTTGTTTCATACTGGAACAAAAGTGATAAGGTTATAAGTCAAAATTGCTGCAGACCATGTTGCATAAAAAGCACAAACAGGACATTTTATTTCTACTTGATAATTTCTTGGCTATCAAACTTAACATATACCTTGAAGTTTTAAAGTTTGAGAAACACACAAACCAAAAAACCACATTGTTTTAACAGCAGATATCATATTTAACAATATTCGTATGTGATTTAAATACATATTTTATATTGTGGTGTATATCTTCTTGTAATATATTTGTTAAATCTATCCCAGTTGGACCACCAGACATTTCTAGTCATATCTGATTAAACTGATTCACAATATTTACCTTAGTCAAATAAGTCATAGTTAACAGATAAGTATTTACTGCTTCCAGCCACTGTCATGAGTTGAGCTAGTTAAAATTATAAGTTTTGATAAAATGTAACTGGAGAACTTACAACAAGATTCAGTAGAACAAACTTTTCGGCCAATTTCTGTATTTCTTTGTGTTCAGCAAATACTTTCTTCAGAGCTACAATTAATAAATATCAAACAGTTGTTATAAATAATAAATAAAATACAAACCATGGGAAAGAGAGGGAGAGGAAAAAGACACACATTTGCCAAGGAGTGATATAGAAAATGATTCAGGTATGATTGGTAGGCTCTCTAGTGCCCTTATTCTCCAAGATTCAAATCTGATCCTTCAGATTGATAATACAGATGGACCTTAATAACCACAGAGAGCTCTACTGCAATAAGTGGAGTATGTCACTTAGGTACAGAGCAAGTGTTTGAGTTCATAAGGTAGACAAGTTCAAAGTCACGTTACCTTGACTGTGTGGGCAGTCCTCTAAATGGTGGATAATCATCAGTGGCTTGTTGCTGAAATGGAAGAAGACACTTCATTTTAACCTTTCCTAATTGACAACCTTAAATCCAGTACTGATGAGGGAGTTGGACTCAGACTGTGAAGGACAATTAGCGGATGCACAGATTTCTAAAGATTGTCAAGAGTTCTTTTCCTAATGCCAAAGGAATCATGTAAATCAAATTACACTAGATGGCGCCATCGAAACCTTTGGCAAGGATAGAAAAAAAAATGTTTTACCCCGTCTTGGCTCTGAACAAGGCTTCTTCATAAGTCTGCGTCCAGATAAGATTATCACCCCACCCTAAAGAAAAATGACATAAAGCAATTACCTTTAAAAGTTACTGGCAATGAGACCATTGTTTAGTATTTCAAGCCTAGTTATAGAGAGACCACGAAGAACTTTGAGAGACTATGCTGCCAAGAAAGGTATTGTAACTGAATTAAGATGAAATCTCTTCTGGAGAGAAAAACTATGGGGGTCGTAATTTAAGAGGCAAGAAAAAAATAATAATGTGAATAGTGTATATAGAAAGCTGTAAGAGAAGAGACTGAAGACCAGAGACCTATTTAAAAGTGTAACAGGATTTAAAGGTAGGACATGGAGGGGTAAAACATATTTATAGAGTTAGGCTTGGGAGAATGAACCATGTTTTTACCTCTGGAGAGAGTTTGAGGCAGTTTTGGTTTGGTCTCAGGTACTTCTTTTGTATCCCTTTTGGCACCGTTCTTAGCTGTGAAGTCTTTAGCCAGGGTATAAGAGACAGCAACAAGCAGCAGGAACACAGATATACCCGTCTTCTCCATGGCTAGTGCTGAAAAAGACAACTAACCCTTAGAATGTTGGCAGTTCTTCAAAATGCTAACTAGAAAATTGCTCAGCAAGATCGTACAGAACCTGAGTAGTGCTTGTATAAATAGCAAAGTCATAAATACAAAGTAGGCCTGAGCCACTGCTAGAATTAACCATTCTTACCAGTTTACATTTTGCAAGGATGTAATGAAAAAGTAGTCAAGTTTGTTTAGCAAACAAATTATTAAAGTTAAATATATCTATCATCTACCAAAATCTTAAAAAGCTACCTGTTGCCTCTCAAACCATGCCCATCCCATCCCAGTGGAGTCATTCTAGATACTCTGACGCTAGTTCGGGTTTTCTTGATCTGGGCCTTACAAACATTGACTTCATTCAATAAGACAAATGAGATTCAACAACTGGATAAGTTTTATAGTGCGTTATTTAATGTTCTAAATGCCCTTGCAAATATTAAGTGTTTTAGACGTTATAAGTTGGTCCAAAAAAAGATATTACCCCACTTACCTAATTACTGTGGTAATGAATATTTTATAAACAGGAGAGACAAGGTATCTCCTAATATCCACATCAGGAAGCTCAGTTTGGAGTGGTGGGGAAAGGGAAGTATTAGCTCATTTTTCAGTCACAGAAACTGAGATAGAGAAGGGGCAGTATTCCTTACTTACAGGGTCTCTGAGTTTGAACACAGATTTTTAATATTGTGCTTTTCCATTAAATCATGCTTCCCACTTCTAGTACTGCAATAATTCAACCTTCCAAAATTATACTTTCATTTAGAACTGTGAGGATTTGTTTAGAAATGCAACCTGTCAGTTTAAGGGATGCTTTTCTGCTGAAATCTTCTCCTCATTCTTACTCAGGCTGTGAGGATGAAGCCTGGAAAGTTTTATCAGAAGTTTCTTGATCTTCTAAATAAGATAATTCTACCAGGGAATAAGTTAGTACTCTGACTCTGTGAGATTCAAATTTACTCTGTATATTTTCATATGAATGCTAGGATAGTATGGAGAGGGAGTACTACAACAATTTATGATAAACAGATAGGTATGTCTCAGAATACCCAGGAAAAACAAAATGGATGCATAAACTTAAACAGGTATATTTTAAATGCAGGTTGCTAAAGTGAGATGAGACTGGCTCTGTCCAAAGCTATGGGAGAAACCACATGAGGGGTTATGGTGAACAGAGTTTGAATGCCTGGTGAATCATCCATTGCAGCTCTAATGCTTAACAGACTCTGTCACTCTGCTCAGACTTCCACAGAATAGAAAAAGCAACAAGGATTATTTTTAAAATAGGCTGCAGTTTAGATTAGAGGCAGGAGAATCTCTTTTGGGGGGAAGAGGAACTCTAGTAATTTTCATTAGAAAGCCCAGTAGAGATTCAGTACAGACTCTAGAGATCCATTTAGATTACTATGTAGAAAATATTGCTTTAAAAATAAGGTGCTGGGGAGACTGGTCAAACAGGAAGTCAAAGACCACAGAAATCTCAGCTTGCTGGCTGATGCAGAATTGGAAGCATTAACCAACCAGCATCAAACATGCTCCTTAAAGCATCATCAGTACAAAGTTAGAGATTGCCATGATAATCTCGTAGAGGAAAAATACAGTTTCTAATTCTTTTAACTGAAGAGATTGTATTACTCCACTGTCCCTGCAATGGCAGTCTGTATAGTTTAATTTGCCACATTCTTCCTTTTTCATTTCTTACCTGCCACAGTAACAAATAACTCAAGTCCAAAGCTCACTAGATTCTATCAGGTGCATTTCTAAGCAAGAGCTCATAGCCTTACCTTGTTTACCTTCCCACTCGTCTGAGGAGCTGGGCAAGTTTTCCAAGTTTCAATGTGAACTGCACAGTCTCATAACACCTATTTATGTACCTTAGCACACCTCAACTCCACCCACAAGCTAGGCATTTGAATACTACGCCCTGTGAGCTAAACTTCCTATTTTTTCAAAGAAAATTACAATCCAGGTTAATTTTTGAATCAAGTAATTTCATCCTTTTATACCAATTTGCTCTTGCACAATACAGTTTAGCATAGAGATACTTACATGGCTTTTGGGGTGATTTTTAAAAGGTATTTTAACATATGGGCAAACAGCCAAGTCCAGGTAAGCCTAAATCAAGATTCCTGATTTGCCTGAAGGCTGATTTGTCTTTGCGTGATTGGATGGAAGTTTTAGCCTGCAGCACAGTTCTTTTATTCCTTTAAGAAAGTCACAATGATGATTCAGAGTCAGAACTCCAGGTTTCTATCACTGTGAATTAAGTGATCATTTACTGTTCACACTGTAGTCTAAGAGCACTGATTTTCTTTGTTGTAGTTTTTCTTTTAAACATAAATCAGATAGGAATATTTACAACTAAACTTATTCTACTTAGCAGCTCTACAGATGCTGGAAACTGTTGCAGTATTTGGGAACCTTAAAAACAAACTCTTTTTAAAACCTGATATTTTAAATATGTATCTCTGATGCATGTACCATGTAACAAAGCAATTTATGCCATAAAAATCCATTATTTTATATTTAATATACATGCAGTACAAGGCAACATTTAGAAAAAGCATAGACACATTTGCCTGAAAGACAGCCACTCATGCTGTTTGCACTGAATAATTTACATTGTTCTGGACTTGGGTCCTGGGCAATATGTTTTGAAACTACAATGCAATGGCATCTGAGACCCCCATCATGCAGAGTATTTTAAGGAACCCAAAATAATAGCCATTTCTTGTAGGGAAGGTTTAGTACTGTTTCAATAGGGAGATGAAACCCCTTAGAGATAGATGTCAAATTCACTATGCTTTCTTGTGTCCACTAATGAAAAACCAATTTCTAAATATATTTCGAAAGGGTGTATTTAACAGGAAATATTGCTTTAACCTAACACACCACTTTTTATTTTTAGCTTTCCCAACACTTTAAGTAACTTGGAAAATGCTGAGCACAGACAAAATGATTATCTCATTTGACTGTAATTATTAGATTACTTATTTATATAGCTCAGCAATGGGATTAGAAATATAATTTTATGAACTATATGTTGGATGTGTGATAAAGAAGAAATCTAGACATCCATGGAGATCAGGGTTTTTTAAGCCCACATCAGTGTATTATACTAACTTTATGCATAGACTGATTGTAAGCAAGTGCAATGATGAGAGTAGTAATATAATGAAGTGTTTTACCTGGGAGGGCTTTGCTTCTATGCTTTTCCCATAGCATGCAGAGCTACATATTACAGATGGCTACTGTAGCATATATCTGTATGAAATCTCCTCTAAGCCAAGATTTCCAGAAATGGGTGCCTTAAATTAGGCTCATAGAATCAATGGTAGCCGCTGAGCGCTCAACATATTTGAATATCAACATTTCTTCAGATACTTAAATGTGGTTTTAGGAGCCTAACTTTTGGCATCCATTTCTGAAATCCTAGCCTTATGTCAGTCAGTATCTAGGTTTTCCAAATGTGAATTCAGTGTGTGTTTGCTAAATCTCTTCCCTAAACTGTACCCAGTAGCCTATAGTAACATTTTAATCCTCACATCTATTTCCCAGCAGACTCTGTGGCAGCCTACAAACACAAATATGACTGCCAAAAGAGACCACATTTCCCAATAACAACTTTACTTCCTAGCAGTGCAAAGAGAGACTAGCTGGAAAATTCCCTGAGGCTGTCTTGTTGGTCACTAAGGAGAGACATTCTAGCCCATTTTTTTCATGGAATTCCTGCCTTTAGGATGTAAAACTGGAGCCAACAGCATGAACTATGGTTATAAATTCTAGATTGCCTACCTCAGGTCTCTTTCTCCACCTCAGTGACTATATTCCCTGTCCTGCAGGAATTGTTTAATTAAAAACTGGAACAACCTATCAGTGGTCCAGGTGGCTTTCCTTTATTCACCTTAAAAGGCTTGTTACACTATATTTAACCATTTCAGGTGCAAAACCTGATCACTTGATAAGTCCTTTCACTTCCATTGATTGTGAAGGGCTTCATGCTCATTTATTTCATATTGTTAAATAGCCATCCTTGTATTTTTTGAATTTTTTCCCTTGTAACTCTTCTAAACAATCTTTTTAAGTGTGCAGATAAAATGAGGCCATTATCCTTTTCTTGGTGTTTCTTACAAAGAGTTTTTATTTTTTCCAGGGATTTATGCTGCAGAATAGAAAACACATTTAGGAATGTGTTTATATATTCCTAATTCCCTACGAACATATTCAATATATATTTCTAATGTTGGTGAGATTCAGAAATGTGAGATGCTTTATAATAAATAACACAAGTAAATGGGGCTAATTAAAAAAAAACACCTAGATGTACTCTATAAATAAATTGAGCTCACACCCAGAAACTGCCAAATTTCAGAGCCAACAATCTTCCAGTGCTGCCAAAATAGTAAAGCAGATTTTGTGATTAACTAAGTGGAATTATGGCCACATAGGGTGAGACGGTGAGTAACCCCAATACCTCTTTTCTTTATTTAGCACTACTTTGATTTATGCCAAATGAGAATCTGGCCCTCTGCCTTGAATACTAATAATATAGTAGCTTCAGGGGGTAGCCGAGTTAGTCTGTACAGGATAAACTTAAAAAACAACGAATGGTCTGGTAGCACTTTATAGACTAACAAAACATGTAGATGGTATCGTGAGCTTTCATGGGCACAGCCCACTTCTTCAGATGACCGGAGTTTTGAGTTTAGGATGTGCAGACCCAAAATAAATAGGAGAGAAGGGAAGGGGAGGGGAAAAAAAGGAGGAGGTGGGAAACAAGGAGCAGAGGGTATGGAAATATCAAAGGGAAAAATAGTAATCACCCTCCAACTTCCTGTCAATTTTAAGGTTTTCCATCTACAGCTGGGGGAGTTCTTCTCCTGTATTACTTGCAGTCTAAACAAGTACCTAATATACTATATATACATTTCTTAAACTATGGAGCAAATATAGATAGCTATATGTGAGTAAGATTTTAAATACCATGTTCTTTCAGGCATCTAACCTACAGGCTGTTCCTTCAAAACCAAAACCGTATCATTTTGATTTTTTCAACAGGAATTGTTTCCCACGGAATGTAAATGATGCAACTTGACATTACTTGATATGAAGTGATAGAATAGAATGTAAGTACAAAATTCTGTCAAATGACTAGTTTGTATGCCTTGTAATAGTTCCAATAAAGGGCAGGGGGTTACATCATATTATAAGTTTTCAGTATTCTGTCCCATTTTGTGTGTTGGTATGTGCTGGGAGCAATAGCTAAATGACCTAGCTTCAAATCATTTGGTGTACCACATATAGAGAGTGGCTTCATCAAAAATCTAAAGCTCCCACCCCACTGCCCCAAACACTTTAGACCAGTGGTCCCCAACCTTTTGGGGCTGCCGGATGCCCAGGGGCAGGGCTGCTCACATGCCGGGCACCTGGGGGCGAGGCCACCCATACGCTGCATGCCCGGAGCTGGCGCCACCCATGTGCTGCACTCTATGTGGGCACCCAGGGGCGAGGCCGCCCATGTGCCTCGCGCCCGGGTCCGGCGCCGCCCCTATGCTGTGTGCCCAGGTTGGTGCCGCCCGTACACTGCAAGCCTGGGGCTGCCACAGCCCTCATGCTTCTCACCCGGGGGCGGAGCTGCCCATGTGCTGCACGCCCAGGGCCGGCACAGACCTCGCTCCGCTCACCTGCTCTGCATGCCTGGGGCCGGCACCGACCATGTGCCGCCTGGGGCCGGCCCTGATCACTCAGAGGGTGCACAGAAATGGCCCGGTGGGTGCCATGGCGCCCACGGGCACCACGTTGGAGACCACTGCTTTAGACTATTTCACTATAGGAATGGCCAAGTTGCTTACATTGCATGATGGCAGAGAAAGACTGAGGGCCTGAAGTATGAGGAGTGCCACAGATTTTTTTGTAAAAATTCTGTATTCGGTGTCTCAGGGAACATTAGTGAGATTGTTTTTGGCAGACATTTTACAGGGGCTCTAGATGTCCATTTTGGAAGGGAATTTAGATTTTTGAAAGTTCAGGTATTGTACCATATTGGAGTAAATTGCAAGTGGGAAGGGTTCTTTTTTTTTTTTTTTTTTCAGTCCAGCTATCACCGGCCCAGGAACCATTGTTTCAGGCTTCCTGAACCCCCTAATCATTTTTACACAGCCCCTAAGTGTTCTACTCAGCTCTGGGCACTCTGGATTTCAGTTCATCCTCTTCAGGGACAACAAAACAGGAAAACAAGGAACACTGGCTTAGCCAAGGGATTTCTTAACCACAGAAACTTTACTCTTAAAAAAGCATAAGAGAGTTATAGACATTTGCAAAATAACAGAAGTCCTCAGACACATCAGTCCACTCCACGCCTGATTTCATCCCTTCTGTGAATCCAAAGTCTTGTCAGTGGGCAGAATCTCTCAGTCCCGAGTGCTTTTCAAGGTGGCAGCAGATGGCCACTGTCATGGAGAAGCACTTCCTCTGAAATAGAGTCCATTATTTTTTTGCCCTGTGATCAACTGGCAGACATGTCCTATCTTGTCCCTTTCATTCCTCTCTCCACATGCTCTGGTTGAGAGTCCATTGATTCATTGGGCTAGATTGGTAGTTGAGATAATCAGAGTCAAGAGCCTTACATAGTCATAATGATGACTTCTGAGAGACCATCTTTCAATGAAGCCTGATGCATTTTTCCTTGGCAGTGTAGCTGATGCATCATAACTGCTCCTCACCCAAAGTTAGAAGTGAATTCAGTACACAGTACAAAAGGGAGGTTACAAATGAAAATGGAGGTAATATTGTGACCCAGACATATCTTATGCTGACAGTTGATATATTGCCATAATGAAGCTATTCTAATTGAAATGTGACTTCTTGTAGTTACATATTGAATTATTATTGCTGGCGCAGAATGGATATTGGCTTCTACCCCTGAGATACCTGCATTTTATAGATATGTGAGCTGTTCCAGTATACAAATATAAATGCAATACATCAAACTGAATAGCTAGCTGACTGAGTGAGCTATTTAGAATGACAGATAGACACGTATACTTAAAATCTTGTTTTAGCGTCATTGCCACCCGGAAAAGAAAAGCCTTCAAGTGGAGACACTAAATAAACACTGTAAGAATCACAAAGAGTTGTCATTCCTATCTAGGAGGAAGGGTGTTATCTCTATTATCCTTTCCAAATTCCAGTTTGCATAATTCCATTATCCAAATTCTCCTTTACTTTCAAATAGTGTCTATGTTCTGCACTTCTACTCTTTAAAAATTGTGTTCACTATTGCCGACACAAAATAGATGTTGGCTTCCAATACAGGAGTGTTTGTATTTCAGTGTGAGTTATCACACTATACACTGGCCCAGGGCTGTGTATTTGGGCCTGTGCTTAATATAGCTGCGAGGTGGTGAGGCAAAAGTGGCTGCACAAAACCTTTGTGGCCCCTAGCGTCAGGAGTTTCTGGAATCTTGCTCTAATTTTCTCCTGGCTGACCATGTCTTCAAGTGATGATTCTATAGTTGGGATAGAGTGGCTCTTTTTGATGAGCACATCCCCCCTATTGCCCCCCCCCCCCCCCCCC